CGCGCATCGTGTAGACCTCAGTGAGCCACTCGGACGTGATGCCGATCGTCGACTGCACCAGCGGAACCGAGGGCCGCTGGCCGACCGGGAGGTAGCCCTCCGGCCGCGTGATGTTGCTGCAGTCTGACTTGTAGGACTTGTTCGTCGTTTTCTGCGAGCTCAGCTTCACTTCCGAGAGGGCGACGACGGCCGGGTCGCTCACGGTGACGGACTTTTGGCTGGTGACGGCGGGCGCGCTCTGGCCCTCGGTGTCGACCGTCTCGAGCTCCGCCTCCGTGGCCATGACGAGCACAAGGCAAGTAGGATGCAATTCGCGCGGATACCAAAGGAAGGCCGAACCGATGGCGGGCAAGGAGTGGGTAGGTCGAGGCGCCAATATGGCGGCCCCTTTTGGGGGCCCCTTGCGCAGTGTGTCACTCACTTCACACACACACACCCCTTGCACACGCCCACCGCCCCGCCTAGGTCGGAAAGAGATGAGGAGATGAACAGCCCGAGGAAAGGCTGACTAACAAACGTATGGGGAGGTTACAAGGTGGAAGAGTGGAGATTTCTTGTTTGTTGGTTTCCTAAAATCTCTCTCAAGGTGGCGTCGTCGTCACGCTGCCCGCTTCCCGGGACACAGCCCCGCCCCTTCGAGGCAGGAAAGTGAACGACTGACTCCATACGCCCGACCCCCTCGCCGACTGACCGATCCCCCATCGAGGTTCGTTCGTTCGAGCTGATGTGCTTTTGGACCGGCCGGTCATGGCGTGGAAAGACGGCGGCCATCCGCGATCTAGTGTGCGTGCGGTCGGGGTGTCATCCTGCAGCCTCCTTCCCCTATGGCTAACGAGCTGGAGCCTACCTACGACTTTAGCAGCAAGGCGGCCGGGTGGGGCGGGGGAGGGGGGGGGGGTATATGGTCCTGTCGGCTGGAATCCTGGTCTGCTGTAGGAGGTTAGGTTAGGTAGAAAGGTGAAGAACAGTCAGGCTCGGACTGGACGGTGGCGCACCATACCATGCATCGACATAAGTCGAACCCATCAGCACCGTGTGCGACGTGTAGTCCCGCGACTCATGTCCTGCTCGGCACCAAAATCAGCCTCCTCCCCTCGCATCTACGTGTACTCACTGCCCAAGTCGGTGGTTAGGCCGTGCAACGACTGGCGAAACACGTGTAGTCTCGCGCAGTGGATCCGAAAGTCCAAGCACTTCGAGCCCAACGGCGAGTGCGCCGACTACTTCTTGGTGCCGCACCACCCGACGGGCGGGAATCCGACGGGCAGCGAGGCGGCGGGCGACTATGCCGTCGGGCGCATGTTCGACTATATCCGCCAGACGTGGCCCTTCTGGAACAGGAGC